TCTTTCCAAGCCTGACAGAGGCTATCCCAGCTGAGGGTAATCACTCGAAAAAGAACCTCTGACTATGAAATGTGTGACAAAGTGGTTTTTGTAGGCTTGGATCTGAGACAGCTTGGGGCAGAAGGAGCAAAAGAAGAAAGTTTCTCTTGAATGGAAAAAAATGCTGAGTATGGACTATATTTTATCTAATCAATGCCTGTTTTTGCAAATAATCAATTAAAAACAATGTTATTTTTATGTTTGTTCCAGTTCATCAAGCTGTTTTGTCTTTTATTAACTTTTATTTTACACTTTGCCAAAGGCTACACAGTCCAAATAAACCTTTGGGTGTGTAGGAAATACATAACATCTTTCTGAACGTGCCCACAAAATTGTCCTTTAAAACAATTTGGCATTCCTTTCACTGTGGTTCTTACTAATTTGATTCTCTATAACCTTTTTTTTTCTCATAGGAGGCTGTTCAGTGTGATTTCCAGTCATTTCTCTTAGGCTCATTAAAGTTATGAATGTTGGAATATTTTTTTTTCCCTACCTTGTTAACACATGCAATGAAAACATAGATTGCTCTGGGTCAGAAATGTGTGATTGTTCCTGCTTAGGTTCAGCTTTTCACACTCTTCTTTGTTGAAACATTTTAGAAGTCACTTGTCTTTCTTCTAACTTGATATAAAAATATTTAAGCTTGTTACATTTTGTAAAAAAAACAAACCACAAAAACAAATGAACAAAAAATGAGGTTGATTTTCTATTCAGAAACAAAAGCTCTGATATACAATATGTAGAAGTATTTCACTGTTACTGTAAACTTTCTAGTAGTGTAATAGCCACTGGTTATCAGTCAATAAAAATGAGAACTGTTCTCTCTCATATCTCCTGAATAATACTGCTGAACTGAAAGCACAGATATCACTCCAGTTTTGTAGACCTCAACTATCAGATTTTAGCATTGTGTGTATGGGTTTTTTTCCTAACATACAAACTGTAGAAGCTTTACACATAATAAAAAAAAAAAAGCTAGGGGCTTAACAAGTGTACAGTAGGACTCTGTGTGTGCGGCATACAATTAAAACAAATTTTGTTTGATTGCATTTTTAGACTTTGTTGGTTTTGTTTGCTGTGGAATTATGAAAAAGCTACCATGAATATTTCTTACCAAAGTCTTGTGTAGATGTTTTGTAGCTGTCTGGCTAACACATTATTATTATTTTGGAATAAAGACATCTTTACTATGAATTTTACACTTGTATGAGATTCTGTTTTACTCATATGGTTATGTATACCAAAAACCTCACATACTTATCAATATAAGACATCAATTCACACTCTTATTTACATTTTACATCTGGAATGACTTGGATTTTACTAGAGTCATTCATTTCTTCCCCTTGGAAGTTATTTGCATCAAGGCTTTTCTCAAGTAGTTTGTTGTCCTTTAGAAATCACAGGGTAACTTAAGATTGTTGGTCAAATTATCCTGTATTACTCTCATGCTGGTTTTGTTGCTGCTGTTGTTGGTTTTTAATAGAAGAGAAATTATTTCAAAGAATTCATTTTAAAACCTGGTAATACGTTAATGGAAAAATTGTTTAAAATGAGCTTTCAAAAAGTCTGAGATTTTGTGAAACTTTCAAGTTCCATTTTGTGCTGCTAGAAGACTATTTAGGTATGCTACAAGCGTGAGAACACCACAGAGAAGTACATAGAAAAAGCAAAGCAGTTAGGGGGAGTCACTCAGCAGAGCTGATGCTGTAGAAATGCAACTATATAGGTAACATCTCTTAGCCAGATAGAAGTGACCACCACGTTCATGAAAAAACTATATAAATATATATGGCAGATGCTCTGCTACAGCCTCATTCAATCTTTGTAGCCACTTTTAGAATCACAAATACAGATTAACTCACTGTAATCTCTGCTTTAGTTTGTTGGCAAATAGTTGAGTTTCAGCAAAAATTGCCAATCCTTTTGTCTTCAAATAAAACCAACAACACTGAGCCTACCTGGCTTAAGCAGAGTAGTCACTACAATGCCAGTAACAGCAGTCTGGCTGAGCAGGACATGTCAGCTGGGCACCTTCACATCATGTGAAAGCTGGAGAGGGACTTTTTACAAGAGCATGTAGTGACAGGACAAGCAGCAATGGCTTTAAACTGAAAGAGTATAGATTTAGATCAGATATAAAGAAAAATTCTTCACTACAAGAACGGTGAGACACTGGCACAGGTTGCCCAGG